TACCAGGTTACCTAGAAAATATGGATAAACATTATCCAAGGAGGCTGGCTTTAAGGCGAAGGCTGTTGGCTTATGTAGTGTTTGTAGAAGTACAAAAATTCAAATGGAGGAAACCCACCCCATGCCAGAGCTAGATACTGGGTAGCGCAAGGATGTTGAATGTTTAGATGAAAAGTGGGAAACTCATTGTCTGGAGAAATGGGAGGAGATAATGTTGAGAAGGATGGAAGGCAAGCATTTTTTAGATTACACTTGATGTATTTCATATGTTTGCAGCCATTTTTTCAAGGGTACTTTCTGTGCAACTCCTTCTGGAAGGAACAGATAGGCTTCTCATTTTTCTCCTTTTCATTTAGGGAATGCCAATACTCAACTGGCACAAAAATGAGCAGAGTTATATAAAACTATCCCCGAAAGGCGCCCCCTTTGAGACAAGTATTCAGAAAGCACAGAGAAGACACAGTGGAAGCTCTGATGAAAGATGCAGGTAGTCTTTAACTTAGGACCACAATTGAGCCCAACATTTCTGTTGTTAAGTGAGAAATTTGTTAAGTGAGTTTTTCTCCATTTTGTCACAGTTGTTAACTGAATCCGTTGATAAATTAGTAACCGGCTGTTAAGTGAATCTGTCCCTCCCCATCAGAGGTGGTATACAGCAGGTTCTGACCAGTTCTGGAGAACCGTTAGAGGAAATTTTGAGTAGTTTAGAGAACCGGCAAATACCACCTCGGATTGGCCCCGCCCCCATCTATTCCCTGCCTCCTGAGTCCCAGCTGATTGGCTGGGTCTTCTTTTGTTACCCTGCACAGGAGAACGGAGCTGGAAAGCAGGTTAGTGGGTGGGGAGGGAATGGAGATTTTACAGTATCCTTCCCCTGCCATTCCCATCAAGGCACACCTACAAGCCATGCCACGCCCACCAAGCTACACCCTCAGAACTGGTATTAATTTTTTTTGAATCACACTACTGTTCCCCATTGACTTTACTTGTGAGAAGGTCACAGCAACGGTCATAAATATGAACCAGTTGCCAAGCATTTGAATTCTGATCTCATGATCATGGGGAAGGTGCAAAGATCATAATTGGAAAAAAATGGTCATGTCACATTTTTCAGTGCCGTTGTAGCTTTGGTCACTAAACAAACTGTTGTAAGTCGAGGGCTGCCTGTATACTGTAAGTTGCCAAGAGGGATTATTATACCTTAAATGCTGGTGACAACAATCAGAGTTGTTTTAGCAGGGAGCTGCTGGATTTTTTTTGGCATATGTGGTGGTTGTGGTAGAAAATAATGGGAGAAGGATGAGTAGTGTAACCTGCTTCAGCTCCTCAATAAAAGGAGGATGTAAATAAAATCAACCGACACCAAATAAGTAACCTACCTTCAGAGTCCCCAACTCCTGGATTAATTGGTTCCAAGAATGACAGATCTTGTAACGAAGTGCCATTGAATGATTTTTTTCCCAAAGAAATAATAAGGTAGGTTTATAGGCACCCTGGCAGTTTCACTTAACAAGGAATATCTGTAGTTATTGCTGGATCAGGCCAAGTCTTAATCTACCATTTTACATCTCACACTGGACATCATAGTATACACAGTATGTCCTTTTCTAAGAGGCATTTTCAGGATCTCAAGATTTTTTTTTAAAGTATCTCTTTCCAGTTGGGCATTTTGATTATTACTTTGTTTTTATTTAGTTTTGACATTCATGCCAACTGAGTCCTAGATTACAATTTGGGCATCATTATATCAGGTTAAAATCTGGTTGCCTAGCTGTGGCTGGATGTGTTGGGCAAATGCTGTCTCTTATTGTAACTTCTCAAGGGTCTGATGGCCCTTCAGCACAGGAGGGGAAAATAAGATTTTTTTATCAAACTCCTGGTGAACCACCACTCCATGTTCAAGTGAGACCTGTTTTTGAAAATCACAGAAAGAAAATTAAAAACCTGAACATTCAGGAAGCATTCTCATTCATCCTTCCAGTCCATGGAAGTAGACGAGAAAAGGTAAGGCTTCTGTAATTCAATGATCATGCTGGAAAAAATCTGGTTTCAATGATCCTTGTCTGCTGTATCAAGATAATTTATCATTGGAATAAAAAGGATTGCATTTCATAAGGACAGATGTGTTTAGCCAAAACATGTAAAGATTGATTAGAGAGGTTTAACTTCAATCCTATGAAATGTGGAAAGTAAATCCTGAAATAAGTCCCTTGTATAAAAGCTTGTAAGTTGTAAAATGTTGTTAAACTGTATTGTTAAAATGAAGCCTCTACAACCACTCAAAAGTAAATTTAAAAAAAAATGACGCATAAAGTTAATGGCCTTTTTTGTACACTTTTACTCAGAGAATGGAAATAAACAAGATTAAGCTTGAGTTCTTAATCTAGAAGGACCAACATGGTTTAATATGAGAGACCTGGTAGAATGTCTTCTATGACTGAAATATAGCAATCGAAGGATAGCATTTATTTAAAGCAAAGAGAAGAGACAGAGAGAATGCATTGCATTGCAAGTTAAGAGCACCCTTTCTTGCTCATTACAAGTTAAGAGCACTCTTTCTTGCACCCTTATTCAAGTGAACAAATTTGAAATGCTGTAGAGAGCATTTTGGTTAATTGCTAAGGGTCAAGTATTTGGAAAACTGAGACTATATCCTAATGTGAAGCTTGACAGAAGGAATGTTTATCAAACTTGCAGATGATCATGGGTGGGATAGCTAACACCCTAGAACAAACTCACAACAACATGTCATCACATGATGTATTGCAACTTTTTTCCCTTTTGCTAAACTGGGGGTGGGTGTGGCCAGCACATGACATATCCGTCCCACGGGCTGCGAGTTTGACACTCCTGCCCTAGAAGAAATAAATTTCAACATGATTTTGATAGGTTATTGCAATCACAGGTAGAAGATAGGTTAATGTTAATACTATAAAATATCATTTAAGACAAAGGTCAGAAAAATCAATTGTGCAAGTGCAGAATGGGGATATCTGGCTTGATGATGGTACTCGAGAAAAGTATCTTGGCTGCCAGGAAGGCAGATGCAATCTTAGGTTGTATCAATAGAAACATACTTTTTAACTCACAGGAAATAATTTTTCCACTGTTTTGCTTTGGTTGAAAGTCACTGCATTCTAACCACTGTGCCACCACGGCTCTTAAATCTTAAATTTCTTGTCTGAAATGATAGGAAAGCAGATTTCTTCAAATAAATATTGTGCATTTGTGCATGTCAGGGTAATTCTAATTATAAATGTAACAGTGGAATAAAATACTCAGACCAGAAGTGGATTAGTTATATTGGTTACATTCAGGCAGGTGCTACACAGCCATGTATCTGGGGTGCAGAGAGGAGGAGCCCAAAACTGGTGGCCTAAATGCACCCTTCTAATTCCCCACCCAGATTCTTTTCCTTTTAAGGTCAGAATTGCATATCTCTTATTCTCAGTATTGATTCATTGCATTAATACCCTAGCTTTTCTCCGGGAGCTCAGATTTACGTGCATCAGGATTTCCTCTCTTTTTATCCCTACCAGTTCATAAGACATAGATTGGGCTGAATGAGAGTAGGCTAAAATGGCCTAATAAATGAGTAGGAACATAGGCTTGTGTCTTCGCAGTCCAGGTCTCATCACCATGGTTTAGTGGCACAGAGCCACCAGCTTCTGTGCCACTAAAGTCAAGGACTGATGTAAAATAGTTTTTGTATTTCAGCCAACAATTGTGTATGAAGGGAAGGGACTCTAATTCTTCTGGACTAATCCTGCATCGATTTGGTAGATGAATCTCGGAGATTGTGAGTGCACAATTTGACCCTCTTTTGAATCTTATTCTCATCCAAAACACTTTTTGTCCATTTTGGATGAGAGATGGAGCCAATCCGTAAGAACAACCAGCAGATATATACTGTATTCAGTGTTCGGTGGGCTAATATTTACAGCCCCATGTTCTTAACAAAGTTCATGAAACGAAGAGTTACTATGTGAGCTGGGTGGCTATGCAAATGTAATAGACAGACAGCAAGACAGACAGATGAGAAATGACTCTGAAGAGAACAGTTGCAACAACGGCGTGTAAAGCTTTGGATTTTTACATCTTGGTTCTTGACCCTCACCATCATCAATATTTCTTCAGATCTCAAATAATTTCCAAATGACTGCAAAAATATTTTCTTGACTTTGAATGTTTTTTTCAGTTTTCACTACTTCTTACTGAAATAGTTATTGCTTATATTGCTTATATTGTTCCACTATGATTGTTCTTATTAATACCAATACTATGTATTTAATGATTTTTTAAATTTTGTTTACTGTTCAGCTGATTTGACCTCCCTCTTAGATGTGTGTATTTTTAAATAAAAGTGAAGTATTGGTGGCAGAGAAGATAACAATAATTATTTTAAGGAATTGACTGTTGCAATATATTGCCATGAGAAAATAATAAGAGTGAGAGAGTAAGGACAGCTGGCTAATAGTTCCATTCTTTCCAATATCTAATAGCTGTTTTATAAGAAATAAGATATTTTTTGTCCCTTTTCACATTAGCTGGACACAACTCTATAAGAGGTAATAGCTTAAGCCAACATTTCAAACTCTGCTTGTGTTGTGTTTGTTTAAATTATATACAATCCTGTGGCAGGTAATTTGAAGTTGACAGAGAAAAGGTATGGAAAACCAGACATACTCCAGACCTTATTTTGTTGGTTGGGAGTATATCTGGTTTTGTTTTGTTTTTTTGCAGCAGTCAGTATCCAATTGGTGCATTATTTACTTTTGATCTACTGAGTGTGGATTACAGAAGCTACTCTCTGTTTCATTGCTTGCTTTAGCTTCTGGCCTAAAATGCTAATTCACTTGGGCAGTCTACAGTTTGGCTTGCCCAAGTTAAGATTTAAGCCGTGCATCCTGCCGTAAAATGAAATTTATTTTTTGAATGCACTCTAGGTGTTCCACTCTCTCCAACTGAGCAATAGTTAAATAAAACACAACATATTAAAATCTTTGGGAAAAAAGTCTCTAATTAAACAAGTGCTTCTCCTTCTCCCACACAGATTTCATTTTCAGCAAATGGGTTCTCCACACAACCTGTTTTCATCACACAAGCAGCAACTGAAAGGTGAGGGAGAAAGGGAGTAAAAGTGAGAGAAGGGGCTCTCTAGCTTATAATCTTAGCTCTTCAACTTCAGGTCCAAAGGTTTCAGAAAGTGCGGCAAAGGTAGACCATCCAGAGCTTCTGGGAAATGTTCGCGTGAAATGCTCCCAATTAAAACTTGCATGGATCTAACAAAGAGAGAGAAAGGAGCAAAACCAGCTAACCACTGATATCGGCTATCACCCAGAAGGTCCTGCCATGGTTGCTGGTCTTCCCGCAGCTGCTGTTTCATGGCAAAATGGAAGCCTGTTGGCATGAAGAGCAAGAGTGAGTCCAGAAGGAGAAGCTTGGTGCAGAGATTTGAAGCTGGACTCTCCCAAATTTGTTGTAGGAGTAGGTCTAGAGGTGTGTTCCCAGCACAGTCACGAAGGCAAGGCGAGGCTCCATGTCCTAGCAGCAAAAGCAAACACTCTGGCCTTACCAGTTCACAAGCCACATGAAGGGCTGTTTTGCCACCTTCTACCCGACTGCAACCTCGGCGATCCAAATAGGTAGCTCGGTCACTTACTGGAAAGTTTTTGATGGCCTTCAGAATCTCTACTAGGACATGGATACGATTGTACCGGACAGCCATAGCTAAGTGAGGAGCCGAAGAGTGGCAGCAGCTGAAGTGAAGGCTCGGTACTGCAAGGGCACTTTTAGGAAATTGGTTCAGTAAATATCGGGCATAAGGCTGGTGGTTGTGTACCAAGGCATACAGCAGTGCCTCTGAAGGTGAATATGTGCTGACTTTGCCTCCTTCTTGCCAGTGGAAAACCTCCATGCGCCTCATGTCTTCCAAGAGCCATGCTGGTAGCTGGTCTCTCACCGCTTGATAGAAAGCAAAAGAAGATTTCTTGCATTGTTTCTGAGACTGGGAGCTGTGGCTGTTGCAGCTATTCAACCATTTGACGTTCCAGGGCATCCTTGAGGTTGGGTTCACTGGGAAGGGCTCCCTTCTTGGCTATCAGATGTTTCTCTCATGAAGAGTCAAGAAGACCGAGGAAGGCTTTTAAGAGAAAAGGAATTGTTTAGAAGTTACCCCTCCCAAAACCTATGTCCCTCTGTGTCTTTGTTTACCATGCAAGGTTCATCAAGGTACAAGTATTTCTCAACTTACAACCATTCATTTAGTGACTGTTCAAAGTTACAACGGCACCGAAAAAGGTAACATGACTATTTTACACACTTACAACCATTGGGCACGTGATCAAAATTCAGATGCTTTGCAACTGACTCATATTTATGACGGTTGCAGTGCCTGACGACTGCAGTGATTCACTTAACAGTGACAAGAAAGGTAATAAAATGGGGCAAAATTCACATAACAAATGTCTTGCCCAAGCAACAAAAAATTTGGGCTCAACTGTGGTCATAAGTTGAGGACTACCTGTATTGGGAGGTGGTTGACAAAAACTGTTTGAAGACGATAGGAAAGAACTCTGCCTAAATCTGAAACCTTCCCATATTTATGCGAACTGTAGGCACTGCCATCCAACTCTTTGAAAATAGTTCTTGATCTCTCTGTTTAAACATCAATAATAGTGTAGTTAAAATTACCATGAAGGGAGTTTTATTTTGAAATTCTAAGGCTCCATTTTCTCACTGGAAGGAAGTCTGCTAGTTACCAAATGTCAGATTCTACAGAAGTTTGAGGGCTTTACGTTTTGCTCAGACACACATAAAAAGAAAGCTGGGTGGGGGAGGGACAAGTTTGTGGTATTGTTATTCTTGTCAGTTGCCTCCTCTCCAAGATCAGCTGTTGTATGAAAAGGGTCAGGCTTCTGATGTTATTCTTTTCCTTCTATCCCTATTGGGTAGATGGGATTTTTGCTGTTGCATAATTTATGGAAGGTCAAGCTGGCACAGTATTTTCCCCAGCCTTTAAAGTCAAATGAAGACAGGTCAGTCATGGATCCGTGTTAAAACTATTTCTGAGGGTTTGGGGAACAAAAACAGTAGCCGTGCCCTTGAGATCTTCCACAATGTTTACCTATATTCCTCAACTTTCTGCAGACTTGATGAGGATTTTTTGGTTAGCTTCCCCTAGCATTTTTCTGCTTCTTTTCCCCACCATCAAATAATAGACATATCTGGTTATCTATCAACTTACTTAATGCCCCTAAGATCGCTCAACTCAGTTCGATAATCTTTATCCTAATCTCCAAATTCTGTAGACATTTATTTCTGTGGTGGTCACCTCTTATAATACTAGATCTGCTTAGTGATTAATTCCCCCCTCCGCTCTTAAAAATAAGAAAGGAGTGAGGAGGTGTTGGCTGAGCTAAGTAATTTAAATCTAACCCAGATTGAATCCATTTTCCCACAAGACAGATGGAATGGAAATTTGCAGAGCTAGTTTTTCACAAGGCGCCTGGACTCCTAACAAATTGGTGTCAGTCCCTTTTATATTATTAAGAATGATAAAGGAAACAGACAATACCTTTTTAGAAGTGTACAAGGTTTGCATTTTATTTAACTGGGCTGTTTGTGACTCCTCATCTAAAACTGAATGCAATATGTACATATTTATCTTTGCACGTTCATGACTGAGGCTTTTCATCCTAAATGAAAGGGCTATTTCACTCCTCAATATCAAACTGAGCATAAACAGCAGATCAGGCTTTGAAAAATAACTGTGTTGGGGAATTTTATCAGAATCCCAAGAGTTCCAGAAATGGCTTGCTAAATATGGTGTTTATGTCTCCCGGGAGCTGCAAAAGACTTCTGACCTACTCTGTATAAGCTTATCTATCCCCATTCACTCCAATTTTGCAATCAATATAACACATGCAACAGAATGACTTCTTCAGTTTGTTGTCTTTGAGCTGTTAAAATTTCCTAGGCAAGCAACGGAGCATTGCTCTAGCAGTCCTTGAAAGCTCACTGTACCCCCAATCACCATACCCACAAAGGGATTTATTTCCAAGTACATCATTAACACTGCAGCTTTTCTTTCCTATTGATAGATCTGAGATAAATTAACTTTGCTAGCCAGTTCAGCTTTGTTTTGTTTACACTAACAGAAGGGTTTAAGGGTGCCTGCACTTTGGCTCAGGAAGGTGTGATATTTGTTTCCTTTTCAAGGGCAAAAGGCCATGAAGATCTGGCCCAACAGCAAGTAACAAGGCTGACCTCCTGAGCAAGTTGCAATTTGGAGAAGGCCAATTCAACACCACCCTGCAAATCTTGATCCATTTTGTTAGCATTATGGCAACTTGCTTTACAAGTGGAGTCCCCAGTGATCTCAACATCAGGGTTTGCTCCATCTTGGCTGGCAGCTACTTGTAACTTAGGATTTAATATGTGGCCCAAGCCAGCTGGGGAATTCTGGGAATTAAAAACCACTTGCCTCTTAAAGTTCCAAGGCTGGGAAACACAGGCCTCCCCTATCTTGTCCTTGGATTCTCCCCTTTATGTCCTCCCCCTTTTGAGCTAGCATGATCGTCATCCCACTGCACCCAATGGTATTGCTATGTGGACCAGCAAGGGAACGTCCTCCAAACCTTGCACCTTTGAGGGCTCCAAAAGCAGTTACCGCTTGACCTGCTTTCCCCTCACTGGCATGTCCCTCTCTTTTAGCGCTTTCCCTCTCCTCTCTTGCCAGGCAGCGGCTTGTAACAAGACAAGGAAAGGACGTTGAGAGGCCCGAGGGAGGCCAGGACTTTCTCAGTTGGATTATAGTGCTAGTTTTGTACCCCCCAACCTCTCTCTTACTTAGGGAGAACCCGGCTCCTCCAAAATGCTTCCCTTCCAAAGATCGGTCATCCTCCCTCCCGCCCGAATAGCCTTTCTCCCCAGAATGGCGTTTCTTATAGCATTTAAAAAAAAAAAAAATCCACGCATTTTTTTTTGGGTGGGGGGGTGTTGTTGACGGTTCATCTGTCAAGACTTGAAGGGAGAACGGGCGCTACTCATCTCTCAAAAGACCCCGCTGTGCCCCGAAGACCACCCCCTTCTCGGCTTCGCCACCCTCAGTCTTTCCAAAGCAGCAGATGCAATTCCGGCACGACCCCTGCCTCCCCCGCCCGCCTTCCCTCCCCCTCCCGCTCTCCATCTTCCCTTCCTCTCGCCAGATGCCCCAGACCTCCTCTTACCTCGCGCGTCTCCAAACTCCCAGCCAGCCCGCTGGTCTTCCGAAACGCCCTGGGGTTAGATCTGGCATTCGCGGATTCGGCCGGATCGAAGGGAAAAGCCGGATCCAAACCCCCTCCTGCCCCCCGCCCGCCCCCCAACCGCTTTCTTTCCTCCGCAAAGGCGGCAGCCTGACGGGAGTCGCCTGCAGGTCGCGCCGGCTCTTCCTCGGGGCTGGTGACTCGGCTGGCCGCAGCAATGAATGAGCCGCCCGCTCGCTCGCGGCTTGTCTCCGGCTGCAGCCGCGCGCGCGCGCGCACCCGAGGGAGTCCGGCAGCCGCGGCTGTCTCTCTCCCACCCACCCCCGCCGCTCCCCTCCCCGCCGCCTGCGCTCTCCTCCCCCTGCGGAAGAAGAGCGGCTGTGCTGGGCTCCCGGCTGCACCGAGCGCTCCTGCTCCGAGGAAAGCAGCGGAGGAAAAGAAGAAGAAGGAGCGGGCGAGGAACAGCCGCCGCCGCCGAGCCGTGTAGCTCAAGCAGGAGGAGTTAAGCGGCAGCAGCGGCCAAACTTCAATCGCCTCCTCCGGGCTCTTTTATCCCTTTCCCCGATCCCCCGTCCGGCGAAGGTCGGTTAGGACCGGGGGAACTGTCCAAGAGCCTCAGGATTGGTCTCGGCGGGTCCTCCCCACCCCCGGCTTCCCATTGGCCGAGAGGGGAGGATGGGGCCCCGCCGAGCGATTGATTGTTGGCGTCAGCGGGAGGCAAAGTTCCAAGAAAGTTTCCGGGCTGTTTTGTAAGTCGGAAGACGGAGCGCGCGGCTCGTGCTGTTGACCCTAAAAGGGGAGGAAGCGGGGGGCGGGGAGGGGGGAAAGGGAGGCAAGGCAGGTGGGGCTTCCCCTCAGGAGATCAGGCCGCCCCCCCGCCCCCCACGGGCCCTCTTCCTCCCCTTGGGCCTGCTTTTTCCCCCCCTCCCCTCCTCAGGGCTTCTTCCCATTGGCTGCCTCAAAACGGGCTTCTCTCTCCGTCAGGGTTTGAGCCGAGGGAAACTTTCTACGCCGACCCCTCTCTTGCCGCAACGAGGACGCCGCTAAAGGGGCTGCCCTTGCCGGGCCTGTTGTGAATCGCCTCTCCCATGGATGAATCTAGCAGCTGTTGCCAAACAAGGACAAGTGCCCTAGAGCAGGGGTCTCCAACCTTGGCAACTTTAAGACTTGTGGACTTCAACTGGGATGATTAGGGGACTGGAGACTAAAACATACGATGAATGGTTGCAGGAACTGGGCATGGCTAGTCTAGTGAAGAGAAGGACCAGGGGAGACATATTTGAGGGGCTGCCACAGAGAGGAAGGGGTCAAGCTATTTTCCAAGGCACCCGAAGGCCAGACAACGAATAATGGATGGAAACAGTAAGGAGAGATTCAACCTGGAAATAAGGAGAAATTTCCTGACAGTGAAAACAATCAACCAATGGAACAGCTTGCCTTCAGAAGTTGTGGGAGGTGTCATCACTGGAAGCTTTCAAGAAGAGATTGGACTGCCATTTATCAGGACCTCCTGCCTGGGTGGGGGGTGGGACTAGATGACCTACAAGGTCCCTTCCAACTCTTTTAATCTATTAATCTGTTAAATGACATCTGCCTATCCCAGGTCCTTGGGAAGGACTCTATAGGTAGATAAAAGTGCCAAATCCAGTCTAAATATTTGGCTGGCTGTGTGATGAACCACAATAATAAAATAGTAATAGGCACCTTTGGTGCAATCCCAAAACAACTAGAGTACCACCGAAACACCATCAAATTCGCCACCAATCAATTACAAAAGGCAGCTTTACTTGGAACAGTTTGCATCTGTGTTGAGGTAGTCCCCGCTAGGAGAATGAGTGCACTCAGGGAAACGTAGTGAGAGTGGTGTTGAATAACACCAGCATACACACTGAATAGTAAAATGTAGGTTTTACTTCCAGTAAACGGGTAAACAAAGTCCAACAAACAGTCCAAATCATACATGGTTAAAGCAGGTAGTATTCAATACAATCAGTCCAGGGATAATCCTGTAACAATAACTGTAACACTATCAAGCATCTGCATCTGCGCATCGCAAGTCCTTAGATAGTACAAAAATAGATAGTACAAAAATGCCAAATCCAGCCTAAATATCTGGCTGACTGTGTGATAAACCATAATGATTTATTAAACTTGTGTGCCACCTAGACAGATCTCAGTTCTTGAACCACATCAGCAGCCACTGAAGTCAATGAAATGTGCTGGAGTACATTTACGGCTTAATTTTGCTGGGAGGAGAAAGAAGCTGTCTCAGTTACAGGCTCATCTTGTAGGTAACGTGGGTATGGCAGAAAAAGAGGTTACCAGGGCATGTTTGTAAACAAAAACACTCAGATATTCTTGTAATTCTTGACACACCCACTTCAAATGCTTGTCTTTTGTTTGCATTTGTTTGCATTATTTGGGTTGAGTGATTATTGCATGCATAATATCTATCTGATCTGGGAACAGTGGCATTGGAGCTTCCCACGCAGATTTGCATACCTCTCTTGGTGAGGAAGTTGGGTGTTTCCAAATTCTGGGTGAGCTGAAATTTTGTGTGACGTGTCTAGCAAGGTATATGTCTGAAAATCAAGAATTTAATAACCTGCAATAAATTATTTGTTGAATTTGTTCCTTGGACTGTATTTGCTAATGAAGGGTACTGTACTTCTATTTTCGTCTGGTGCTTAATATTTGTTGGTTGTGTCTTAAAATTGGAGGTATACCAGTATGCTACCGGTTTGGCCCAGTTCTGCTGAGCCGGTAGCTGCTCAGCGCCGCCTACGCAGAGTGTATGTTTGGCGTGCGCATGCACGCAAAGTATGTGCACATGCGCAAAGTGCTCCCACCAAGCCACGCCCATTGAACCGGTGGTAAAAGTTTTAGAATCCCACCACTGAGGTATACCCATTTACAACATGCATCGGATTAAAAAAAGTTCTACAACTTTTCAGAATCAAAGTTCACACTGAATCCAGCACCATCCTTAGCATGTATTTTTAAAAAAAGATAAAGGCTTTCCCTGACTGGTGGTGTCTGACTCTAGGGAGTGGTGCTTATCTCTGTTTCCTAGGCAAGGAAACTAGCGTTGTCTGAAGATGCTTGCATGGTCATGTAATCGGTATGTCTATACGCTGAGGCACATGGAAGGCTGTTACCTTCCCACCAAAGTGGTACCTATTCATCTACTTGCATTTACATGCTTTCAAATGTATCTTTAGCAAAACATTTGTTAATGTTTTCATTTTAATAAAAAATGTATTCACAGCAGCATAAGCATATAATCTAAAATAATAATCAGGAAAATAGTTTTTTAAAAGAAGTGCATAAGCAGTAAACAGCTTAATGCAAATATCACTGTTGAAACCTCAGTTGATTTTTTAATTAAAATTAAAATTAACCATGCAGTAAATCTAGAATCAGCTGAAAATATGAGAAAAGAAACTTTAGCTATTACCTGAATTTTGTACTCATCTGAATTTGACAATGCATTTTGCCAGCAATAAAAAAAAAAAAAACCAAGCAATTTTTGTAGGAAATTATTGAGAACTGCAGCCCTTCCTGGAGCTTGAGATACTGATAATGGTTAGCCAAGCCTTTATCACTTTTCATACAACTGTAATACATTGTATGTGGATTTCATTTTGAAACCTATCTATCTAAACCTTTCAGTTAGTGCAGAATATAGAAGTTCATCTGTTGCCATGTAAAAACAATTCAAATGCTGCTTATAATCTAGATGGCTTACCACCAAAATATCTGCAGGATAACCTTGTTCAGGAAAAACCATCCTGTCTGATTCATTCATCCTCAGCTCAACAAAAAAGTGGTAGAAGTTCATAGTAGCTATATCCAGTGTACTGAATAGATTCAGACTAAGGTATAATTTCTTTTGATTAGTGCATTGTATGATCCTAGCCATTATGGAATCATTGCAGGTGTTGAACTTGGTGGACATGGCAAATAGGTCAGCTCTTGCAAATTACACGGTGCAAGATTCCAGATAGCTTAAAATATTCCAAATTGCTTAAAACATTCATTGTCAAATAGACTTGTGCTCTTGGATGGTAGTACTCCAATCATCCCTAATAGGTATCATAGGTACTAGAGTTATAAATATCTGAAGGAGAACCTTTGCCCTTTCTTGATGTAGTTTGCAGATAAAGAGAGCATGTAATACAGAAAGAGTCACTTCCAACACTTTCCATTACTGTACAAAATACATTCTCAAGTTGAAATCCATATATCTTAAAATTGCTGAAATTGAAAATGCTATTATATGTGGGAAGATGGACACTTGAATCTGTTGCTACTGCCTTCTCTTGGTTTTCTTCAAATATGCTTTTTTCTTTTTCTTCAGAATCAGCATCAATTACCTACCAGTGATCTAGTGGTAATTATTCATGTTTACTTTGGCCAGGTCCACAGTTCAATTCATTCGATGGTTTGGTTGTGAGTCGCTTGCTGAGTGAGCAGGAGTTGTTCTTGATTAAAGTCCTGGATTAATCTGGCCTAGATTATGGCCAATACAGAAGTACTTGCTTTTATTTTCTTATCAAGCCAAAATGTAATTTTCTTTCCCTTATTTCTGCTTCTGATTGGAAGACATGAAACTAACACTATTTCCATGGGATTCTGCTTATCATGATTAATAGTTATTTGGATAGTGTCCAAAAGGAAAAGAGATGAGAACCTATATTTCTACAGAAATTGCTGAATTACAACTGTCATAATCCCTGACTACTGTAGTGATCAGGCTGATTGCCACTTGTAGGAGCTGAAACCCAAAAGTTCTAGGGACCTACAGTTTTCGAGCCTGATTATATAGGAATCTGTACTTAAACAACAACCCCCTAAAACAGTGGTCCCCAAACTTTTTTGTACCACGGCCCAGTACAAAATGATCCACGGACCGGTACCGGCATCAGTACGCATGACCAAGGCAAGGCAAGCCGAGCGACCGGCCAGCCAGCCGTCCCCCGCTTCTCCCCGCCACCTTCAACTCCTCCTTTGTACCTTCTCGTGGTCGATGGGCTTTTCGGGCTCTTTCTTAATCTCCTGAGTTACGCGAGACTCCACCACCATCGGGACGGCTCTTCGTTCGAAGCCCCCCCCTCTTCGATGAAACTAGGGCGCAAGGATTCCTTCAGCACCCAAACGCCGCTTTCCGACAAGCTCACCCGGAAGCACTTTCTCAAGCGCCGTCGAAAGAAGATGGCGGCGCCCGCATTCTTTGCGGCCCGGTACAAAATGATCCACAGACCGGTACCGGTCCAGGGCCCGGTGGTTGGGGACCCCTGCCCTAAAAGATATAATTATTTATGCCAAGAGATTTACAGTCTAAATGTTGGAAGCAAGTTTTCGCAACCTTACATAATCTGCTAAGAGCTCACAAGAATGAGCCTCTTACCAGAGTTTCTCCACAGGAGGGTACCATATAAATGAATCCATCAGGGAAAAAAATCCTGCCTCTTATTGATGACTGCCTATTATCTGGTGATAAAAGTAATATCATGAGGGTCTCTGGAGATCTTTAGGTTTCCTTTGCGTATCCATGTTCATGGAGATGGAACTAGGAAATTGTCTAATGAGGCAATTTCACAAGGTTTTTTATAGCGTGCTGACTTTTTGTTTTTAATGGATAACCTTTCGTGAGACTAGATGTCATCTTAATATAGCTTGTTACCAATGTT